TCCTTTAACAATATACGCCCTGATTAGTATCCAAACGAAAGCCTCATGACATGTTATTGACACCAAATATGTTCATGTTATTGACACCAAATAAACCTATAACAAATCACTTACTCTAAGTATGCGATAATGTTAGTCTCATCTGCGGTGACAGTGATTCGAACTCCTCTCTTTTTAGGTGTTATTGGATGTTTTGCTGAGGTAACATCGCCTGAAAAACAACTTCTAGGTTTCATATGAGTGAGCTTTCAAATGTCCTCCTTACCGGGATCATCCGTTTGTGTCACTCTGGTAACCCAGTTCAGGAGACGCAGAAGCGGATGGTCTCTTTTCTTCCGCAGCGGGACCAGGCTTTCGTGGTTTTCTTCGTGCCATATGAACGGGACAGAAACTGCAGTCCAATATAATTTAAAAGAAGCAATATTCAACAAAGAACGTTCATCATTCATTCAACGCCACGATGACTATTTAGAACACAATTTTACTAAGTGAGAGCGCGTTCATACACTGCGTGCGCGCATGGCAGCATTCCGAGCGAATAGGAAAGTATAGATATCGATCTATCGTTTTGAGCATACGCCAGGGTTTTGAGCGTTTCGCGGGTATTTTGAACTTTTTGCGGGTAGACGCTGAAAATGTGGCGTACACTGTAAACGCCAAATCGGTACCTGCTTTTTTCCCGGCGGGAAAAAACCTTCCGCAAAGTATGAGCGTAGCTTGAAAATACAGTTCTGCCCGGCTGGAAGAGAAGTACAGGCGTGGGCTGGTGGTAATTACACCACCTCAAGCGGCATTTAGAACTTTTTGCTAAGTTTGTAGCGCTAGTCAGTGCCGTTTTCTACCGCGTTGTAAAGTCCAGTAAAGAATCCGAGGCCGACTCCCTATGAACCACGAAAACCTCTTTTTGTGCAAAGCGAACAGTGCATCCTCCCTCACCAAGTTCCTTCCCCTTTAAGGAGGGAGAAAATCCTACTCATCCCCTGGCTCGCAATCATTTCTTTGCACTGCCCAAGACAGACCTCGTGCTCAACCGATTCGTAGGGCACTCTCCTGGCGCAAGTAGTAAGGTGCGTGATCATTTATTCCCTCATCTCCGCGGACCGTTGAATGCTGTCTCACATATAGAAATCAAAGAAATGGCGTGAAAATTAGAGTTGTAACAATTTTGGCTCTTCAAGAGCACCGAAATGGACTGTATTACAGGACTTCATAAGCATCCCGTGTGGGAGAACAAACCGCCACAACGCCATTGCATTTTATGCACGAACAAGAAAACTGGCAAATTTCTCCATACCGGTTTAGAATTTGTCTAAACGCGACAAAAATTAAATTTGCCGCCAAATTTGTTCAGCGGTCGCGTCGCGGATTCTCCATGGAGCGCGGCACTCTGAGTTTTGCAAAACATTTTCGTTTTATCTATGAAGAGATGGAACTCCGTAAGAACCGAGCATTTCCCGTTCGCAAGTAGCAGATAGCCTAACTAAAGAGATGGGAGACACTAATGTTCTTGCAGTACATCGCCCGAATTGCCGTAAAAAATGGCATCAGGTCCCTTGGGAAGGGGCACTGTCCACGAGGCTGAGCTAGGCCATCGTTCGTTTTCACACAGGCAACAATTCATGTTCTGGCATGGATTTAGTGAGTCAGGATTTCACTGCTAAGCGTGTCACTTGCCCTCTCTCACCAGCGTCCAATTTCATGAGAATATGATATGCTGCCCATCTAATCTGTTAGGAAGTCCATTCTAATGCTGAAATAATGCTAATTTCGTTTGGTTCGCAGATGTTTGACAAGTTTCTTTACACCTTCCCTGACTGCTACAGTGCTCTAACGCGAATACGCGGTGCAACCGCAGGAAACGGAAACGGTTGTGACGTTCAAAAGGATTGAAGCGATTTGAATCTTCCCGCCATTCCTTTGAAACGTCGCACTATGTTTTCGTTTTGGTTCTTTTGCTCCATTATTACCTCTTTTATGTTGTTTTGGTGTTTCGCTCTTGATTTATTTTGTGTTATATGTGCCTGATGAAATAGTGGCAAAAGTGAGGCCGTACGCAATCTTTCGGATGTGAGGAATTTTTTTAGTCTTTGCTTATCACTCATGCTCACTACTCCCATGCTGTTTATATTCTCACGTTGTCCTGCTTTACACATTCATTCGCCCTTCTTAATAGTGACCAAATCCAGAAAAAATTTGCAGGGCTGTTCGGATGGAGAGACAATAACCTACGACCCTTAGTTAGAAGGCTTAGTGTGGAAGTCAAGCTGGTTCTTTTTTGGGATGCGCGACGCATTCTCTTTGCATTCAGAATCGTAGTGCAATATTGAATGTGATGTTGCCGATTCTACGACTTGCGGGGTCCACACAACTCAGTGTTTTTTATGCTCAGTCGTGTGTTGCATCGGTTTATCATCTCCGGAGAATCGACGGTTGATCTGCGTTGCAGCTGTTCCGCCCTCTGACCGGTCCAATCGCCTGGTAAGGCATTGTTCACACTCTGCGGTCCAGCGTTTCTCTGAAACGCGGCGGTTCGGCGAAAAGCTTTCGATACATATCGACTGGCGGTTGGGCGAAGAGCCTGGCGGTTGGGCGAAAGGGTTTTGGTACGTATCGACGGGCGTTTCGCCAAACCGCGACGTTTTTCGCCTTCGACAAAACGCTAGCTCC